AGGAGGGCTGGGGGGGAGAGAATAAATGTGTCTTGTTAATGCAATTCCTATAACTGCAGAACTTACTATGTGCGAGGCACATAAGTGTGTAATGTGCAAAATGATGTAAAGGGATTGCTGATGCAAGGAATATGGATTTTTAGGAGGAAAAAACAGCATCTCCCCCCCCCCCCCTTTTTTTTTTTCTTGGCACTTTGAGTCTTTTTCTGCACATTCCTTGCTGCTAGTCAGGGTTTGCCACCCCTTGCAGTGTTGGCAAGGGTGCAGTTTGTACCTGGGGTCCTATCTCTCTTGTGAGCTGAGTCTGAAGCCAGCAGGGAGAAATCAGCTCTCCTGTACCATGCGAGACTGATTGATTTTTTTTTTTTATTTTTTTTTTTTTTTTTAATGAACTGCCTCTTGTGTCCCACACACCTTCTCTTGCAGGCTGGAATGAGCTGCTCATTGCCTCTTTCTCCCATCGCTCCGTGTCGGTGCAAGATGGCATCCTTCTGGCCACGGGCTTGCATGTACACCGCAGCAGTGCTCACAGTGCTGGTGTGGGCTCCATCTTTGACAGGTATGTGGCCTGTTTCTGTCATCCCCCAGCAGCGGTGGCCAGGCTGGTTCTGTCTTTCCCCTCTGAATAGGAAACGCCCTTCATGAGAACTAGAGCAAACCCATGGTGATTTGGGGTAGAACTAGCTTAGAATGAGGAGGGGATGCTTGACTGGCTTAAAAACCAAGAATGGGGCGAAAGCACCTTGGAAAGGGATTTGCAGCTGCAGAAGCAGATCTTTGGTTGGGTGTGCAGGGGGAGGAATGCTTCTCTGCCTTCTCTCAAGAGTTTGCTGTAACTGGGTCTAGAGCTAATACTGATCAGCAAGAGCTTTAGCTGGCAAAGCCTTAAACCCCAACTTGCTCGTATAATGACTGCACACGTACTGGCCATGCCATGCCTGCTCCCTGCCTGGCAGGACACTGCTTTACCACTCTTGCACAACTGGCTCGTGTAGTGGCAGTGCCCACGTTTCGCACAGTGAAATGTGGAGAAAAACCCATGTGGTTTTCCCCAAGTGAACGCAAATTGTTCTCCATAGGCCAAACAGAGCACAGAGGTCATGTGCTGAGCAAAGTGAGAACAGGACCAAATTTGATTCTCGGGTCCATGAATGCTGGTGATGCACATGTAGAAGAGCAGCATGTGGCATGGCTGGCCCTCAAAGCTGCCTCTTCCTGCAGAGAGGAATTGGGGGTGTTCCTAGTGCCTGTCCCAGATGCTTTTCAGCCCCCAGCCTTGCTGTCCGTACTTGTCTCTGACTGTCTGCCCACCCATGTCCCCCACATGCAGGGTTTTGACAGAGCTCGTGTCCAAAATGAAAGACATGCAGATGGATAAGTCGGAGCTGGGGTGCCTGCGAGCCATTGTCCTCTTCAACCCAGGTGAGTCTGAGGCCTGGGGCAGTCCCAGATCAAAAGGCGTGCCCTCGGCAGGTCACAGGCAGGAGAGCTGTGGCAGTGAGCATCAGGATTGCAGACAGATTTGTCCCAGTCCCTGGGTGCATGATCAAAGAGAGCCCGAGTCCTTTCCCGCCCATGCATGCAGTCACTCTGCTGGCACTGGAAGGGTCTCCTCTGCAGTGATTTCTTCCCTACGTGTATTCTCTCCCTCGTCCAGATGCCAAGGGTTTGTCCAGCCCCTCAGAAGTGGAATCGCTGCGGGAGAAGGTCTATGCCACGCTGGAAGCCTACACAAAGCAGAAATACCCCGAGCAGCCAGGGCGGTGAGTGTCCCCAAGCAAGGCAGGCACCTGAGGGCAGACAGACAGACCGAGGCAGGGGTGTCTGCGCCAGCTCGGCCTGAGCCGCCCTGGGCCAGGGCCCCCGGAGCAAAGCAAGGGCAGGATGCCGGCCAGCGCTGCCCGAGCAGCCCAGCTCCCGCAGGCTGGCCTGTCCTCTCGGCGCCCTGATCCTGGGCCAGAGCCTTTAGGGTGCTGGCGAGAGGCAATTTTCTTGCTTTTCAATCCAATCCTACCCTCTGCTGGCCGAGCTCTGGAAACGCGGGCAGCCGGCTCCTTCCTCACCACCGCCCGTCAAGTGACGCACCCGCAGCATCTTCTGCTCTTTTTGGCTCTGGGTGTGACCTCGCTGCTGAGGGGCTGCGCACCCTCTCTGGGGGCCGGGGATTTTTGACGGCTGTTTCAAGGAGGATTTAAATGGCACCACGGAGATCTAAGTCGCTAGTTCAAGTCTTGGAGATGGATTCTGTCTCCATCTGATGTTGGTTTTTTTATTTTTTTTTTTTAAGTTTTAAAAATGCTAAATTCTGTTTTGAAAAGAGATATATTCCCTCCACACAAGCGGAGAGAAATGCTTATTTTGAAAGCATAGGGGAATCTAAGACAGAGAACTCGCTGAGGCATTTTTGGGGAGGATTTGGGCTCTCCTCTCCTGAGCCCCTGGCACAGGCTTGGAAACATACGAGAGAGGGTGGCCAGTGCCTCCTGCACGCCTCTGACTCTGCTCTCTTCCAGGTTTGCCAAACTCCTTCTGCGCCTGCCAGCGCTGCGGTCCATTGGGCTGAAGTGCCTGGAGCACCTCTTCTTCTTCAAGCTGATTGGGGACACCCCCATTGACACCTTCCTCATGGAGATGCTGGAGACACCCCTGCAGGTCACTTGAGGGTCTGGCTCTGCTCTGGCCAGACCCTGGCCCCCCATGCCCCTGCACAGCCTCCCACCCCTCTGCTCTGAGCCTACCAGAGCTCAAGAGATGTCCTCCACCCTCCACTCCTCCTCGGTGGGATTGTTGTGGTTTTGTACAGCTGTAAATCACCCCCTCTAAACCTCCCTGACCTGGCCATGGGGGGGTCACAGGTCCTCCAACCAGCTAACCGTTCCCCTGCCCCCCTGTACAGATAATTGCTTTAAATTATTTTTTCACTCTCAATAAAAGCCAACAAAACAAATAAAATAATTTATGAGAGGCACTGATTGGAGCTGGCAGAGCAGTGTCCTCTTTTGCTGCGGTCACAGGTCTGGCTTGGGATGGGGCTGAGGGACCCTTCAGAGACTCTTGGGCAGCCCAAATCAGGGCAGGAACATCACTCGGGACATCGCTGCTTGTGCTGATGAGCACAGTCCTCTGGCCAAGAGAGAACGGGTATTGCTGCCTCTTGCTCCTGCTAAGGAAAGACCTGGAGAAACTTGCTGCTTTGAACAAGAATGCTTCATTCTACGATCTTAAAAAGAAACGGTTGGACTCTGTGAATTTTTGAAGTGATTTACAAAGTGACTTTTTAATGTTCTTTTTGTTTTCTGAGCTAGTCCAGCCATGGAGGGAAGAACCGAAGTGCTTTATTTCAGTCCAGGTGGAGTATTTTGGGGTGACCCAAACATGGCATGCTCGTGGATAATTTTTATTTTTCTGAAGCTTCATAGATCCTGTTCTCAGGCTCCCCCCCCCCCATATTTTTGCACTGGAAACAGGCTCTTCAATCCCAAATTTATAAACTCATACCTCCATAAGTGAAACTTGCAGAGAGGGAAAGCACAAGACACTCTAACAAAACCTGCCTCAAAGGTCTGCCTGGTCTTTCCCCTGCTCAAATGGCACTGCTGGAGCTTCCCATCGCAACCGAGCTAACCAGAGTCAAATGAGTTAAAGACATGAATTTGTTCAATATGTGGGGCTTATCCTGGTGGGAAAACGTCCTCCCAGGAACCCAGCAAAACTGCCTGTATTATTATTCATAAAACAGGTGTAGTGTTAAGTGATCTGCCCCTTCTGACCCTCTCAGCAGACAGTGCGGTGAGATGCAGCCGTGCTTCGTCTGTCTGTGTGACAGATTGCAACGCTGCCGCTTGGCGACTCGGGGAAGTTCGGGGGAAAGGAGGAATGACAACAGGAAAGAAAGAAGGATAAAAATGAAACATTTTGTTAAAACTCCCACACAGGGACATGATTCATTGTCCAGTATTTAATTTTGAAAAGGAGAAAGAGAATCAAAAAGGCAGGAGAAAGAAACAAAAATCCAAAATTATGAAAACTTTTTTTTATGACACTGGAAAAAAACAGGGAGAATTTCAAAAGAGGTGAAAAGCATTGACTAAAGGGCTATTTTTAATTGAAAAGGTAACTTTCCATTAGAAGGTAAGTGTTTAAAGACAGAAACTATTCAGCCTGCTCATTGTAAAACCTTTGCCAGAGTTTGAGAGGCTGCAGGCAGACCGTGCTGGAGTGGTACCCACACCACGCTGCTGGTTAGACAAAGCAAGGGGTTACCTCCAGCCTGGGCTGCTACAGGCTTCCTCCTCCAAGAGTTGTGAACTTCTAAGAGCTGGTCCCCAACTAGCTGGGTTGGGTTTCTTTTCAGATTATAAAGCCCTGGGTTTCTCTTGACCTCCCTGCTTTGATGGTTTAAATCAAGATCGGTTGGTGTTAGCAGGCTTACCAAGAGAAGGGCTGCAGAAGTTGATGCCACCATGTGGTCATTAATGCTTTTTGTTGATATAGAGAGAGAGAGAGAGAGAGAGGAAAACCTGAGGGTCTTCATGCATGCAGTAGACCTCTTGCTAAGATGGTGTCTGAGTGCTACTTTGGAGCCCGGCAGCACTCAGTGCTACTCAGAGTGCGCTTTGGCTCTGGGGTGAGCTATGGCAGCACAGGGGGCTGAGCCAGCTGGAGAGGACAGGGTGCTTCCACACCAATAGTGCTGTCTCTTTCAGGAGCTCACAGGCTGTCCTCAGCACATAGCTGTTGCAGCTGCGATCATAGGAGTTTACATGGAGCTGCAAGGTTAGAGTTTAATTTAGCCGAGACATCCAAAAGTGCTTTGGGCCATGCTCAACCCTCTCTGATAGGGATTTAACATAGACAGCGTGATGGCTCTTTGTGGCTTAATTTGAGTTCATGATGAGGGATTCAGAGTCCCTGATATTCCACATTGGCAGAACAGCTCAAACATGGGCAAAAGAGAAAAATAAACTGGACAGGATAGTGGGATCCAGCACCTAGCCCAGATGGCCCTGCACCTGCCCACTGCAGTCGGTGCAAGCAGAGCTTGCAAGTCCTATGAGCTATTCACCTCAACTGTCTTGATGCTGATCTCGGTCCACCGTCTGCAAGCCAATCCAGACGCTGCCTGCACTATCAACAGTCACTTTTTGAAACTGGAAGCGATGGGGTATGATAACCAAGGCTGGGGCACAAAGTCTCAAAGTGGCCATTTGTGGCTCCTGGATATCCCTGCTCCTAGCAGTCTACCTTGAGACACTGGAAAGGTGGTTTCTGGGTTCTGGGCCAGAAGGTCTCCAGGCTGCACTTTGAGCAGGGCTTGTGCTCTTTCTCCAGATGCCTAGTGTGTTTTGGTGGGGTTTTTTTTTTGGTTGTTTTTTTTTTTTTACATTTTGTGTGCTTGATCATATGTTTACACACACCCCACCATATGCTTCTCCCACCCTGTGTCTGGTAGGGCGGTGAGAACACGAGTCATGGAGCATGGCTTCTGTAAATAAGAGAGTGCTTTCTCATCTGGAAGTGTCACTAGTAGACAGTTGTCCTATGCAGAGGAAAGAAGTCATTGAACAACAGAGCTCTATCTGAAATCACCGGGGACCTGAGGCTTGATGTAATCTCCTGGATTTGGTCCTAACCCTCAGATTCCTCATTCATGTTGTGGGCCTCTATTACAGTGGTGTCAAAATGCTGCCCCTAGCCTTACAAAACATAGGGGTGAGTCTCTACAGACAGACACCCCAAGGAGCAGACCCCACAACAGTTAGTAATAACTCAATGGTGTAGTTTTCTTTCAGGCTGAATTGCTGCAGAAGAACATCAGCGTGGCATGACTGGAGCTTACCCAATCTGCAGCCCTGCGAAACCCTAGTTTTCATAAAACGGTAGAAACTGCAGTCATGGATAAGCCAAAGAAAACTTCTATCCTTGCACATACATTTGGCCTCAGCTTGTGTGGAGTTATAGCAGCACAAAGAATTCAAAAATAACATTGAATAACTAAAAAAAATCAAGAAACACCAAAGTTTAAGTCCCTTGCAATGTCGGCATTTTTCCTTGCAGACATATGTCATGATGGTGCCTTCAAAATCCAGGCAACACCCACTTTCCAGGCATAACAAGGAGAGCATAACAGGATCCAGCTACCTACCCTTCCTACTGAAACCTGGCTCCTGTCTCCTCTGAATTTTGCTCTTGCCAGATTCTAGTTGCTGGGTCTTGCCACCACTTTGTCTGAAGATCTAGTCATTGGTTTCCCCATGAAAACCCTCATAGCCTCAGATTAAGCTCCAGCATTTTTTCCTTTGCTCTGGGAATAATAAATAAACCAGGCTCTGGGAACGGCTGGTACAAGGCAAAGTCTCATATTCTCTTTCCCACCGTGCATCACATCTCATGAGCTTTCTGAGTTAGCAGCAGGTTCCCCCCCTTGCCATGGACAAGCTTTGTTTTAGTGCACAGGCCAAACGTTTCAAAGCATTTATTAATTCTGAGCTGCTTGGTCTGTAGTGCTCCATGGAGGGGACTTCAAAAAATAGTGGGTTTAGCCACCTAGGATGAGGACCTTGGAAAATGAAAACCTCTTAAACGCCGTTGCTTGTGCTAAGCTGGATTTGTTTCTCACCCAGAAATCAAGCTGGTGTGTTTTCCTGCCCTGTCTTTCTTTGGGTTCTGTAGTGGCTGCTTCAGTTTCTACTGAAGTTCAACAACAGCAGTTCTGGATTGGGAATAAAAATAATAAATCCCAAACTATAAAGGTTTGATCTGGTTTCCATTCAGTTCAGCTCTGGGCTCCCTGCTGAATTTAGTGATTCAAGGGCACGTCCTATACACCTGACATGACTTCCAGACACCGATGGTGTGACCCTGAACCGAGTGCCACCACCATGACGATCTCTTGCCGGGGCTGGGCCCTGGACTGCCTTCACCATCACACCTGAGCTCCCCTGAGATGCCATTTCTCTTCTTGTCCCCTCTCCGTCTCTCCCAGCTCTCCGCTGTCCCATCAAAGGCCTAGGTGGGAACCTGGGGAGGCTGTGCTGAGTTGGTACCTCCTGGAGCACCAGAGAGCACGGGGAGGAGGAGACAGAATTGCACTGATTAGGAGGCACGTGGGGCTCCCAGAGCTGATGGTGCGGGGAGAGAGGGTGGCTGGGAAGCAGTGTGCGTACCCTCTTTCAGGGGATGATGGCTTTTATTTCACAGTGATGTACATTGTGGTGGAAAGCATAATACAAAGACAGACAAGCCCTGATAAATCCCCAGGCGTTTGTCAGCATTAGTGGACAAGGACCAACCTATACCTACACAACCTATGCTCTCTGTGCAACTAGCTTTACCCAAGACAGGCTTGCTTTGGGGGATTTCAGTGGTAAAGGGAGAGGATTTTATCATCCCAGGGATCTTTGGGCAGTATTGTGGCAGCAGGCTGATTTCTGGCTTGCCTCTCTACCCAGGGCCAGCCCGCCCAGATGGGTGTGCAGCAGCTGACACCTATAAAGGGCTGTGAGCGCAGCAGGGAGGAGAGGGTGGTGTAGAGTATGGTGGGTTGTGCTTTGTCTTCTGGGTCAAGTTGGCTTCAGGTAGGGAAGGCACCTCATGATGCCCAGTGCCTCCTGTCCCAAGGGAGGTGGCTGGAGTGTGTGTAGAGAGCACAACTCATCATCTTCTTCTTCTTTGGTCTCCTCTGTGCCTGCTTCTGGGTCTAGCCCTCCCCGCTCCTGTGTGGTTCCGCATCTGCTCTGCTGGGCAGAGTTAAGGTGATTTGGAGGAAGGACCTGGCTCCCTACTGCCTAGGACCATGTCTTGCTGTGGCTGTGGTTAGCTGAGCAGTGCTGACCTCCTCCCAGCAGAGAATGGCAGGAACCTGCTGGTCCACCCAAGCTCCTTGGCACAAAATGTGAGAGCTGGGCAACCCCAGTGGGTAGACTGTTGGGGGAGATGTGCTCTTCCAGCACTGTAGGCTTGTTGATTTGGTAGGCAGCTTCTGTTTAATGCTGTTTTTCCCAGACCACCCAGTTTTTGTAACACCTGGGTGCCTGCAGACCCTACAGGTAAAAGGAGAAAGCCTAGTCCTGCTTCTCATCTCATTTAGTTATCTTCAGCTGCTGATGCTGTGGGCTGCTGCACTGAATTCAGCTCTGGGTGAGGTGATCACGGAAACTCTGGCCCTAGGAGGACTTGCTGCCTGAAACACTCCCCCCAATCTTTTGTAGCACCGTTCCTCAAGGTGAAGGTGTACTTTAGGAAGGGAAAGGTGAAATTGCCAGGGTACCCTGTAAATGCTATCAGTGAGGAGGTTTGGAGAGTGTTTGTTGCATGTTTTACTGGTTCACCTGGTGACTATCCTTTGCACAAGAGAGGGTGTGCTCCAGTACCTGTGATCTGTGTGGGAGCTGATGTGTAAATCCTGGGGAGCGACACCCTGCTGCAGACCCCTCAGTGTTACACACTGGGCCCATCCCTCAAGCCTGATCCTTCATAGACTGAGCTGGGAGTTGTGCACGAGAGCTGCGACATAAGGCAGTCTCCACACCCCTCCTTGCCTGGAGAGGAGGAGGAGGAGGGTGAACACCACAGGGTGACAATATCTAGGGGGGAATGACTTCCCTCCCTGCTGTTCCTGCATATCTGATCAGACCAAATCAGGTGGACAGTCTGAGTATATAAGCAAGGTGCCCTGTACAGGGCCACAGTTTTTAGCAGTGCTGAAGGATGGCGTCCCCATCCCACAGGGCTGACCCCTGGCTGTGTAAGGAAAATCTACTGCCCTGCAGAGCTCTGGAGCTGGGATGGGATGGCTGCGCTGGTTTGCACAGAGAGGAAGAGCAGCGTGCGGTGCCCGGAGCCCCGGTCACACTGCAGTCCTTGCCGGGCTGGTGTCTTGGCAATGTGGCTTCGATAGATCTGGCTGCCCAGAAATTTGGCTGGAGCTGCTCGGAGACCTTCAGGAGAAACAGAGGCGTCAGAGTCCAGTGCCTCCCTGCTGCAGCTGCAGCTCAGCCTTCCTGGATGTGAGGGATCGGAGCTGTTTCACGCTGACCTGTGCAATGGTACCAATGCTTTTGTGCCCAAGGTCCCAGTGTAGTTATACTGGGACACAGTGGGGCTGTCCCAGGACCCTGTTTCCCTCTCCCATGGGACTTTGGCAGGGTGGTGATCCACCAGTGCTAACCTGTGGCCTCTCTCCTTCCTACGAGCTCCCAAAGGGCATGACCTTGGTCCCTGCATCACCCACGTCATCTGGGCGTGGGGAACACTTGGTGACGAGGATGCCCCACGGAGAGGCTGGGAGCGCTCCTGCCCCTGGTGCCAAGGTCACTGGTGAACACAGGAGGTGAGGCCCTTAAAAACCTCCCGTCCTCCAGGAGTCCGTAGCGGGTCTCTCGCAGCTCTGCAGCCGGTTTCTCCGCCGCCAGCCGGAGAGGGGGGTCCCAGCCTTCCTCCGTGCCGGGGGAAGCTGCGGCCCCGCTGCCCAGGCTGCGCCGGCAGCGGCAGGTACGCGGCCCCGGCCCCGCTGCGGGTGCCTCCGGTCCTGCGGGGCCCGGGAAACTACCCGAAAAATAGCGACCTCCCCCACCCCCGGCAGGGGGGAAGGGGGGG